GGGGGGGGAGAGGTAGAGGAAGAAGAAGAGGCAGGTGGCTCTAAGAAGCAAGCCGCTCTGCACTTGGGACCTAAGTGCTGGGCTGGAAACCAGGAGTCTGGGCCTGCCTGAGGCATGAAAGCCGACCAACCCTTCTCTCAGAGTGGTTGTTGTGGAGCATTAGGTATAGTCGCTGCCTTGAGTTGACCTTAGGGATAAAAATCTAGTGACAATACCATAAGAATGTAATCATGCTTTTTGTATAATGGAACTGTTAAATTATTAATTTAAAAATTGAAATTTTTATAAAGTTAACAACAATCGCAGACCTTGGGCAGCCTTGAGTTGCACAAAAAAAAGGTGGGATAAAAATCTAATCATCATCATTGTAACTCAGGTAGAGCAATGACTAGGATCAAAATGGTGCATCAAATGGGTAGTTAGCATTGGTGTCTCGCCAAAGGGGTGCTCCCCGTTAGGGTGGTTTATATGTTGATGGGAGGCCTGAGCTGTAGGCTGGGTGGGAAGTTGAAAATAAATCTCAGGAGAAGGTGTTGACACACCACTTCCGCATTGCTGCCAAGGAAAATGTATAGACCTGTCCAACAAGTCAACTCATGGCAGACTTTTATGTACTGTATTGCCTGATTTTGCAGTATTTAAGGGATAGTTGGGTAAAAGGACCAAGATGCTGTTCTGTAACTGCAAACATTGCAAAGTGGGTGGGGGGATATGCCATTGTATTCTGGAGAGATTCCTAAATAAATTATTTTCTGGAGAGAAAGATTCTGGAGAGATTCCTAAATAGATTGCTTTCTATTTAGACATTTCTAGTTAAATCATATGTGACCTCAGATATTGCTAAATAACTCTCAGGATTTCTAAGCCGTCTAAGGAATAAAGAAGAAAAAAGCTTTATTGTAACTTTACATGTAGAAGGTTTGAAGTATGCATCTCTGATCTCCCAGGGAGAAATGAACTTTAGAGCCCAGTTTTTTTCCTAAATTTATTTTGTTAACATAAAATGTCTAGACAGCACATTTCACAAAATCAGATCAATATTTTTTTACTTCTTAGAAAGCAAGGAGATTTTTAACATGAATATTCAGTTTATAATACTTATATCTTGTATAATGGGTGATAAAATTATGTAGGTGGTTCGTTACTGTTTTCATAACTAGAGTACTTTATAAAGCCATATAATACAGGGAAAAATGCTCTTATTTTCTTCAGCTGAGTAGGTTTCCTGCAGAGTTGTTGAGCAGAAGCCTAGGAATGGGGTTTCCATTCATTGTCTAGTATTTCTCTCTCAGGATCTTAAGTTCCCATATCTTCAAAGATTGGTTATTTCCAGTTTCAATTAATAATTTATAAATTTTTGCAAAATATTCTTTTCTACCATTATATAGTAAATGTATGTTCAAGTTCTATAAATGATCTGTTGGCTTGAATAAAAATCTCATTTTTCAAAACAATCTTAATCTGCATCCACTACAACCAGTTTAATTCAGTTCCTAATTTCTCTCCAATCTCAACTTTAAAGAATGAAGTCAAATTTATATTAAAATCTTTAATACAATACAGCCCTTTCTCTTTCCAGCTAATATATATTTTTTCATTCTGTCTCTATTTAAAAATAGAGGATGTAGTAGTATAAGGAATGAGGAGAGAAAAAATTAGCATTAAAAGATCCTTATATGATTTCTGCATCTTAAATATTGAGTAAGATCTGTTTTACAAACAACAAATCATTCCTAAAAATGTTTTCTGTAAAGATTTATCACCTACGTTGATGTTTTCTGATTTTATGTAGTGACTATTTAGATCTTCCTTACCGAAGACATTTTTTTTTAGTAAATTTAAATGCCTAAATATATGATTTCAAATTTGGAACCCCCCATCACACCTCATTAAGATGTAAATATAGCAAATTTCTTTTTATTCAAAGCTGTTTTGAACCAAAACAGAAAAACGTCAAGTTTGCATTGCTAATCATTTAATTGTTTATCAAAATTAAAGAAAAGAGTTTGAAATAAAAATAGTTTTGGTAAAGCAGATATTTTAATTGTTATGATTTTATTAAAAGTAAATGAATTGTCTTTAGACCATTTAATCACATTCTGTGTAATTATTTTTCCCAGAATCATAATTAGATAGGTTCATTTCTATATTTTTGTACTTTGTTTATTTAAATATCTATATACCTAAATGCTGAAAAAGTTTGTGTGTGTGGGTATTCCTGTTGATTTAGAAAATAATGTTTGGGGATGAGAAGGTCTATGGAAAAATGTAAGGTTAGAGTTTCCAAAATTAACTGTTAATTCAGAAAGTTCTGTAAAGCCTTGCAACTTTATTTAAATTCAAAAACTGCTTGAAGTGATTTAAATATCGTAAGAGTCATATCATCTGCAAATAAATTCAACAAATACTCTTTTCTTTCCACTACTGTTCCTTTAAGGTTCCCTTATTTCTTAAAGTATCACTAATGGTTCATAACTAGTAAAAAGCAGTAGTGAAAGGGAGCTATTTCACTACAGTGCCTCTTATTAACAATATTTCCTGTGAATTCAAAGAATTTCTGTATTTGTTGCATGTAGTGGTTAATAGATTAATCTATAATTTTCAAAAATTATAGCTAAATTTCAAAAAAAAATCCAATCCACACAATCAAAGGCTTTTAAATAAATAAACCATGTATTATTAAAGAAAACTTCTTTGCTTTAGTGTAAAAATGTATTTAATTTCCAAATTAAGTCAGTAACAGTTCTGTTTGGAATGAAATCAGTTTGATGTAAATGTATCAGTTTACCAGTTGTTAATGTTAAATTGTTGGCAATTAATTTTGAAATTACTTTCAAAAGGAAAGTAGGCCTATAGGACCTAATTTGAAGGGTTTTAGAATTACAATAGTAATTGAGTCATTCCAAACATTAGGAGTGAGTTTGAATTTCAATTCATCAAATTGTCCATAACTTAAGAAATTCTGTTAGTAATATATCAGGCCTAGGGTCTTGACCATTTCTCAAAGAAGAGAGAATGTTTGCCAGTTCACTTTTTGTAATGGAGGCAATCAGTAGGGCTCTATCTTAAAATGTGTCAGATATTTGACTATGGCGATTTAAAATTGGATATATGTATATGATTATTAATCTTCCCTCTAAGCTATTTAATTTTTATAAAAATTAGCAAATTCTCAAATCCGCTTTAGTCTGTTATGACCTGATTCTTATCAGGTATTATTGAACCAATAAATATTTTATATTACTTAATTTGATTTTGAATAGTTGGAATTTTTATTAAATCCATAATACTTTTGTTTCACATATAAAACTTTTTGTTGAAATTCTCTTGATTTCCAATAACTTTTTTCCCAACTATTTGAGCTTTTTTATTTTCAGATTTATTGAATTTATGCAGTAGGATTGAATATCTAATCCTAATTGTCCTGCCTTAAATAATTTCATTAAAATGTTCCTTTAATGCATTCCAACCCCCCCCCCCAGCAACAGCTTTCATTCCACCAGTTTTACACTGCTGTTTGTAAATAGTCATTTTCTTTAAAATAACGTTTCCTGTTTTACTTTTAAACATTTATTTAGTGGCTAATAAAGAATTTAAGTGCCATGTTTTAGAGTGAGCATAGGAATGATCAATATCTAACTGAAAAGTTAGACCTCTCCATCACACCTAACGTCATTCTGTTTAGATTTGCATCAAATAAAACCCATCTCAGATTACATTGTTTCTTTCCGTCCAAGTCAAAAGCACAGTTGAACTCAGAAAGGAATTTATTCTCACTTTGAAGGGTGATATTCCTTTTTAAAGAAGGGGGCACATTCTTTAATGTGAGGAACCTTGTGGTTGATTATGCTTTCTGTGTGTCTATCATTTGCAGGCAAAATACAGAAGGAAATAACAAACATAGAGTGCTTGTTTCCCACATTAATACTTTAGTAATTTATATACATTAGGCTTATAACTCAGTGGCCAACAACATACCAGAGGCCTGTTCCAGACCTAGCATCTCAAATTCATCAATTGCTTGAGCCAACTACATTATGAATAGACAGCTCTGCTTGCTCCCTGGGAAGTAATGGTTCTAGAGTAAATGGATTGTGCATTAATTATGTGAACCCCTAATTATTTTTAAAAAATAAAAATTAAATTAACGATAGTTTTCTCCTTTACATAAAATTTCCCATAGTCCTTACAAGTACAGATAAAGTCATGCATCTTAATTGCAAAATGTTCTCTTAGAAATTTTGTGAGAGAAGGTGGTGGTATGTTAATGTTTAAAGTAAGGTTGCAGAACAGAGATAGATACTGAGTCTATAAGCCTCTCCAGTATGATGCTGCAGTGGCTGTTGATTTTAATTGGAGATTAGGGTTACATTTTAAAGTGTCTAAAAATATTATCTTCACTGATTTTTAGCTTTGGTCGTATTTGATCCAGGAGAATTCAAAATTGGAGATTCTGCTTGAAACATAAAATCCTTAAATTCAGTGTCCAAAAGCGCTTCTTTCTCTTGTGTTTGAACAGAGGATGCCTGCTCAGAAACTTCAGCCAGAAGGTAGCATTCAAGAACAGAATGATGATGATGGCAGTAGTAATTCAAGTAATATTGGAGCAAAGGAAGCTAAGCAGGGGAATGATTTGCTTCCCGGTGAATATCATATGGAAGACCATTGGAAAGTGCAAGCCTTGGAGAACAGAGTCTCTGCCTCATCAACCGATACTTCTTTTGGAACATTACGAAAGGGGTCCATGCTGCTAATTGATCGGCAGCAGATTCAGTCAGTAGCACCTAATGATCAAGCGCTTGAGCTCAGAGGACTAGGCGTTGATGTGTATGACCAAGATGTCTTAGAACATGGAGTCCTTCAGCAGATAGACAAGGCCATAAATGAAGCAGCTAAAGTGGATCGAATTGATGATGCTGAAACAGAGCAGCAGCCCAAATCAGAAGACGTGGGGTAAGTTAAATAACATTTTACTATATGCCTAGAGGTTACATTTATAGGACTTCTGAAAGTTCAGAATGGGATAGCATGCTTGAAAAAGCAACTGCCTTGGTGAACAAAGTCTCTGCATCGTCAACAGATACAGTGCATTCGGAAAGGAAGGAAGGAACCCCCTTCACTTTTTTCAGTTTTGTTATGTTGCAGCCTGATAACTACAATTGTTCAAATTCGTTTTTTTTCCTCATTAATCTATACTCACTACCCCGTAATGACAAAGTGAAAACAGAAATTTAGAAATGTCTGTAAATTTATTAAAAAGAAAAAACTGAAATATCACATGTACTTAAGTA